GGATACTAATTACCTAATTTGCATAATGATTAGTCAATTTTCGGTTTTCCACTGATATCTCAAGTACTAATCATCACATTTCAATGAAACTTGGTACATAGATGTCATACGACACTGCACAGACGTGATAGTTTTTATGGTAATATCAGTACATATTAATTACCTAATTTGCATAATTAATTAATTTTCAGCATTTGATATAAGTAGTTAGCATTACATTTCAATGAAACTTGGTACTTACATACTCAAGGACTATGCAGAGATAAATATTTGTGCATATTAATCACCTAATTTGCATAATTAGTTAATTTTCAGCTTTTCCACGGGTATCTCAAGTACTAATCATCGCATTTCAATGAAACTTGGTACATAGATCCTTTAGGACTATGCAGAGACCTGATTAGTTTTAGGGTAAATAATTGTGCATATTAATTACCTAATTTGCATAATTAATTTTCAGCTTTTCTACTGATATCTAAAGTACTAATCATCACATTTCAATGAATCTAGAATTATGCAGACCCAATTAGTTTCCGGTAAATATTTGTGCATATTAATCACCTAATTTGCATAATTAACCAACTTTCACACTGATATCTCAGGTACTATACATCACATATCAATGAATGTACATGGATGCTGTAGGACAATAGACAGACCTGAATAATTGTGGGTTAAAATCTGTACATATTAATTACCTAATTTGCATAATTAACCAATTTTAAGCTTTCACACTGATATCTAAAGTACCGTAAAAACTCCAAAATTTCGACCGGTTTTAAATAATTGGTGTTAGAAATGTGACGTGTTTTTAGAGTCAAAATTAAGGTGCATTTTCGTGCGGTCGAATTTTTCAGGATAGAAATCAGCAAATGAAAAAATGGGGATGATAGATATTGTGCTTCATTAGTTTTTAAAAAATGCAATGTCCGTCAATTGACGTAAACTTCCTCATGTTTCACGGTAAAAGCAAAGGTCGTGGCCGAGTTGTAACTCAAAATCTAAACAAAGTCATCAATCAGTGAGTATTATGACAAGCAAAACAAAACATCAAGACGCGGAGAAGAGGTCAGCACAAAACTAATAGGTCAAAAGACAAAGCTGTCTCGCACTACCTAGGAAAACTTGCGAATGTTCGAAGTACAGGTACCCATTGGACAAAAGATACATGGAAGTTTAGCAAACTATCTCCCCGACCCAGTGCAATGTATCCGGTTAGAATCAAAGCTCACGTGTCCCTTATTTGAGGGACCAAATTCTGCCGTAAATTCGCCCTTGGATTAAAAAATAAAATGGGATTTAAGAAAATAAAATGGGACTTTTAAGGTGTATTTTGGCATCATTTTTCGAACATTTCAATCAATCCTGCCGGCTAAAATAGAGTAAGTTTTACCGTAGTCATCATCGTCCGCCTGCACGGTGTTGTTTCGTTCGGATATTCCTCCCTCTACAACACCGTGCGGTAATTCTATTCATAACCGTGTATGTCACGTGGTTGCGCGATAGAAAGTTTACCGACCAATAGAAAGCTTTGTTACAATGACTGCCAGAAACGGCTGGAGCTTTGCATTCCTGATGTCTTCGGCTTCATTTCTGCCGATATATGTTGCAGTGACATCATGAACTTTGAGGTATAACACCTACTCTTCTATAGTACCCAACAGTGGTGAC